AGATATAGATATAGATATAGATATAGATACAGATATAGATATAGATATAGATATAGATATAGATGTAGATATAGATATAGATATAGATATAGATATAGATACATTATGAGTCATCATTATCTAACCGGATAGAAGCTAATTCGATTTCTTCGACGTAATATTTTGAACACAGAAAAAGCAATTTTAGAGAGAAAACATTGAAGTATTTTTGAAGGTATAAGTAAACTGGTAAAGCAGTGATCGGCTGTAGTGTTTGGTGGTAATAGTATTTTCAGTCAGTTAGTGTCTCTGAGGTGTCAGCGAGGTTCTTTTAGTGGCATAATTTTTCGATTCTATTCGTTATACCATACAAGCCCATCAGTCATATTTACTTGGAGAAGGACCATTCTGGATTGGACATGAATGGACTCGATATTACTATCAAGCCAAGAACTGTCAACTCAGCTGAATTTCTCAAAACAGGTGAATAGTTTTTGTTCTTTTTTTTTGTTTTTTTTCCTACAGGGCAGCGTCAACATCGTCAACCGTTTTCGGATTAGTGTATTTTGATCGTTACCTCGTTCACCGCTGCTTGTTGCTTGTCGCCGCGAGCATAACCAAGTGCTCAACTCTACAAGTTTATAGTTTTGTCAATTTTAATATATTTTATTAGCGGCAATTTGAAAATGAAATAACACTGAAGGCAAATTATTCATGCGAAATCTGGCGAATAAATTATGCAAATTTCTGTAAAAAAAAAAAAAATCACCGAAAACCGATGTTAAAGAATTTTCTTACAATTCTTTAAGCCGCGATAGAATTCGGTTTCTGAGCGGATTCAACAGGGCTTGAGTCATTATTTATTTAAATAAAAAATGTAAAGTGGCAGGAAAAAAATTGTATTCAGATAAAGCTGTGTTATTCAGGCCTAATTTTCTTTCAGTTCGAAAAAGTCAGTTGCGTTCATTATGTGCTTAGCTTAAGCTTCGGCTGCTGGTATCGCGCGTATCTTCTTATCTCTATTCATTAACATCAATCGGCAAAATTTATTATAGTAAATTTATTTTTGATCTTTTTTCAAACAAAAACAGCAACACGTGTCAATAAGATTTAAAATTCAAATTGATTGAGGGTGTTTTTCGGTGACCATAGAAAAAAACAACAACAACAACAAATATAAGTCCAATATTTATTTATATATTATTTGTCATTCAACTACTAGCTAAAGTCGTTGTTGTTTTCTGCGTGTATCATTCCTTTTTCATGATTAGTTGTTGTGGATGATGTCGTTAAGTTTTCGCCAAGACTTTAATTTATGCCTAAAATTAATGTATTTTCATTTGAAAACATTAACACGATCTTTTGTTTATATTGACAAATTTTGTGAATCCGCATTTTGTTCATAGTTTTGCCGTCGACTTGTGCGATAAACTGTTTTAGATAAGCTCATAATTAGGGTGCTGATATACCGACGGAATCTTAAGTAAATGAAGGAGTTAAAATTTATAAAGATGTTAACAATTTTGAACTAGTAATTCATGTTAATAATCGACTATTTAGGAAATATGCCAAGAACTTAGGTTAAGAAACAATGTTTACTTTATTCAAGTGGCAAGTTCAAATGTCAACGATTCTATTTGTGTATGGTTGTTTCATCCACAGCTTTCGGTTTTTATTACAGCTGTGAGTTTTCGAGAAGTTTAAATAATTGATATTCTTGTCTCAGTATTGTTATTAAATATTTCTTTTAAATTCTAATTGTTGCATACTTTCAGTAATATACTTTACATATGTATAGATCGGTCCATTTTAGCACAGAGCTGACAGAAATACTCTCTGATATAAAACAAGTTCTTGTTTAGAATCCTTTTTTTATTTGAAAATATATCCTCACGATATTTGACACAGATTATTTTCTAAGACAAGGTTATAATCTTCAAACATATTGTTTAGATCGGACAGCTATAACATATAGCTGCCATTCAAACTGAGCGCTCAAAATCACAATAAAGATTATTTATAACGTTTTATGTTATATGAAAAGCCTCTGTAAAGGGTATTATAACTTTCATGCAGCCGAAGTTCCCATGTTTTCTTGTTTTTGTCAAAAATATATATTTTTAGTGGCAATGTGAGCGATATTGCCTATAGTCGTAGATTTTTCTTGTCTACTGTTGTATGCAACCATTGGTGCAACGCCTTCATATTTTATCTCAGTGTTATTAACAGGCGACACAAACCTTTTTTGTACATAATTTTTTGTAACTAGACATGATCTTGAACGTCTAATAGATTTTAGGTATCGGCTTTTCCAATAGGGATGATATGTTTTCTAAGTGTCGTTTCGGTCATTTTTAATATGTCATGATTTGTAATTTTTTTTCATTGTATTTAGTAATGTTTACAATTTCATTATGAAAAGATATACGCAAGAACAACGTTTACAAATTATTCAATTTTATTATTGAAATAATCGTTCTCCAAGCGCAACTTTTTTTAAGAAAATCATCTTCTTCGATGAGGCTCACTTTCATCTGAGTGGTGCGGTACACTGTCACAACAAAACTGTCGATGTTGGTACGAAGAAATCCACAAATTATTCATTCGTACTTCTGATTCCAAAAAGACGGGGCTAGGGGCGAGAAAAGTTTGGAGATTCGATAGTTGCAAGTAATTGTCACATTGAGTGGCTCCCAAGAAGTTGTGATTTATCCCCATCAGACTACATCTTGTGGTGTTATTTGAAGTCATTGGTCTTTAACAATAAACCAGACTCTATTCAAAATTAAGAAGTCAATATTGAACCTGCCATTCATGACATACGACTTGATTTAGTGGCAAAAGTACTCGAAAATTTAGTTCATCGAATTCGTTCCTGCAAAAAAGTCTTTGAGGTAATTTGAATGATGTTATACGCAAAACTTAATTGTATCATTGTACTTCACTTTAAACAAAAAATATTTGAGTTTCCTTAACAATTAGTGTGTGTTTTTTTTTTAAATCATATCACTCTTATTGGAAAACCCTGTATATAGCTCATAAAATACTAAGGGAATGTTAACCCCACTAAGCGGAAATTTAGTCAATATGGCGAAATTGGAAGAAGTCGGATAATAACCACGCCCACCTATATACCTACCATATATCCAACGAATAACGCCATAAATTTACAGTTGGTTAGCATTCAAACTCTTTATAATATTGGAGAGCTGTTTGCGCAACAAAGAGGTGAGACAGTGGTAATTTTGAAGTAAAAATTTGTATTTCATCAACTTCTACACTATACTAGACTAGACTAAGTTCAACCAAATTCAATTCACATTAATGTCAGTGTGTTAATTTCCTCTCATTTCCAATATAACTCAAAATAAATAACTTTACGTTAATTTAATAGGGATTTCTTGTTTTATTACACATCATGTGGTTCATCGGAAAAAATAGATTAAATCGATTCAGTTATTTTTCAGCACCTACAATATATTCCTAAGTTAGGGAAATATCTCAATAATACTGAATAAGAATGTCACTTAGTGGAACATGATTTAATACCAAAATTATCTGGTATTGGTCTCTTTTAACAAATCACCGCAGTCATTTGGACACTTTCACAGCTCAGATACATTTATATAGTAAGGTTTGGTAAAAGATAATCTATAATATTTGGTTTAAATTGAAGGAGTTATTTAGCATAGTTAGTAGGATTCGGTTTATGTCAAATATGCACACTTTTGCTCAATAATTTGTTTTAATTTTGAAAGTCATTTCATAATGCCACTCTCATAGAAACCCTCGCCACTATTGGCAAAAAAACCAGAACCGTATATTTCACTAGCTTCTCTCAAAGCTAATTTTCCAGCAGCGTACATCAGAACCTCTCAGCCAAGCTCCCGAAGCTTTGAACGAGTCACCATAAAAGTGTGTGCCCTGGCTTTGCTCTGATAGAACACAACTCCTCTTCTTCATCCGCCGCTGGCCAATTGCTTGCTTCAGACGATTCATTTATTGACAGCACAGGTATGAATTTGGAGTTGGAACTTAGGAGAATAGCCCTTGCAATCCCATCTAACATATAGCAAAATTTTTCTTACCGCTTGACGTTGTTGTAAATGACTCAATTTTCATCAATATTATTCATCCGCTTTAGATATTAATCGATTTTGTTGAGATTCTGCAGTGGTCCGTAGATATAAGGTTGTCAGATATCTCCCTTCCTTTTTTGCTCTTCATTCAATGCTTTATAAAAAGTGTTACAGTGATCGGATTTAGTTAAAATATGCGCCGTTTTGTTCGAAGATCTGTTTCCATCTAGACGGCAACTTCATAATACCTTCCTCGTAGAAGCCCCCCTCCTTATTTGCGAAGAGTTCGGACAGCCACTTTTCACAAGCCTCTTTTGAGTTGAGTGGTCCGTAGATATAAGATATATAAGTTAGTAGATAGAAGGTATTTTACGTTAACTCATCTGGCACCCATACATCATTCTTCTTCTTGTTTACAGCCTTTTAAAAATAATTGCAAAGATTTTTTATGCATTGTTTAACTGCTGGGCAATCGAAACAGTGCACATTTACGTCCGAAAGTATTTTCTCTTATAATCTCAAATACTGCTGATAGAACAACTTATCGTGGGTGGTCGTCATTATTGTAACGGCTGAAAACGTTCCCCAAATAATTTTGAAAAATTCTGGCGAGCTGGTAGTACTCGGTCGGATGGAAATCGGGGGTCATACTGGTTACGTAGACCAGACTGCCGTGGTAATATGGTCTCAATTTTCAGCTTTGGATATGCTTCTACTTAACAAGTCGTAGATTTTTCAATATTACGTTCTCGAATAAGTTCTAACATTCAAGCTTTGCACAAGAGCTTTATACTCTAGAGTTATCGAGTTATGAGTGTGACTTTATCCAAAGCAAAAACAGATAATAACACAAGAAAATGGTGAAAGAGATTTATGATTTTTTTCGGTGTCACAAGTAAGCACTCCATTTAACCTCCTCAGCCACACAAAATGGAAGCAATCGACGATTCCGATCGGTGCACACCAAATGACCGGTGATAATTTTGTGAATATATCAATATGTATGTATGTATTAGATGTACACTACAATTTCGTAAAAACATAAAAAAATCATAAAAATTTTAATACAAAAAGATTTAGCGGCGATAGTGATGAAAGGAACAAAGCGATCGAATCGAATTATGATAATAATATCGATTATTAGAGAAATGTACCGAAAACAAAGAGATAAAAACACTTGGCAACTATGCGGAGCTGAGCACCTAGGCAGCTGTTCAGCGGCATGAAGGTGTTGGTTTTATTATTTTTGCAGTTGTTGTTGCTTTTGTTATTGTATTTTACTACTGGTGTTGATGGCGATAGCGGTGGTGATGATGATGATGTTGTTGGTGAACGCGCTTGTGCGCACACATTAGGCGGAGTGAAGTGCAACTAATTTGCCATAAACTCAATGAAAGTTTTCGGCCCAATTCAACCGGCCATTTAACCAACGGATGCACCTTTCATTCATTTACACGCTCAATCGTTTATTTATTCATCGAAATGCCGTGTTTAGGGCTTAGTTTTATTTTATTACGAGTTTTTCACGTGCCCATTGGTAGGCGATCAATGAGCCTAAATGGCTACTAAAAATCCACTTTGTTGGTGGCCTGAAAGCGTTTAAGCCGCCACTCCCTATGGAAATGAAATGGACATAAAACGATCTGAGTGCACACTCATCCACACACACCCATACATAAGTGGACAGCTTAATCCTGCTCAAGCACATTTGTATTTAAATATTGTATTCGAATTTATAGCTTTTATTGCTGTTGTTGATTGCTATTGGTAGTGCGCCGCATGGCAAGTGGATTTTGTGCGCTCAAACGAATCGACTGCTAAATTCACAACTAAATTAAATAAATTGAAAATTCGCATTTATCGAATATTGGCGGATTGACACCATTCCTTTTTGGAATTGTATTATGGAATGATAGTTACTAAATATAGACTCAAAGAAAAAAGTCGGTTAACTTAAAGTAATATTTATTTTAAAATAAAGCAGTAGAATTGTCTAGTTTACATGTATGTAAACAAAATATTATATATATATTTATCCAATTCTTTTTCACTATGAGTAAGCTTCAGGTAATGTTCACAGCGTGCACCAAAGAAGTATGGTTTCTAACCGATAAGCAGAGTTGAAGTTATGGTCCAAAACGTAAGAAGGCTTGTCTGAGTTCATATTTGAAGTATGTGTATATTTGTTTACCTAACGGTTGTTTGTAGCTCCTAAAACTAATCGAGTTAGATATAGGGTTTTGTATATATAAATGATCAGAATGACGAGACGGGGGTCACTCTCGATCCTTGATTGTGCTAGAACTCATATCTTAAGGATTTTAAAAAGCGTTAAGTCAAGCCAAAATTACTTCACTATGAAACTAATTGTATTGTTATTTATTTATAATCTTTATTTCAACTTACAACATCGATCTATTTTTATACATATACTTATAGTATTTCTAAACCTTCTACCTACACATAATATGTGCACAAAACCGCGCTTGTACCAATCAAATTGTGACACGACAACTTTAAACTTGGCAAACGCGGTCACCAAATGTATTGAAGCTTGCAACATTATCGATATCATGTTTTACAAAATGCCAACACTGGTGCTGAAGATGCATTTCTAGCTGATTTCCGAAAACGAATACACCGTGAAAAATATCTTTGAGGTAAAACATAAAAAAAAAATTCTAAAACTTTAAAATCTTTTTGAAATCTAAAAAAAAATTTTCAAAGTATTACTGTAAATTATATGGTAAAAGCAACGAGCCTGAATCATTCATTAAGCAAAAAAGATAAATTCATCCAGAAAAAAGCTTAAGACAAAATGCTAACGGCATGGCTTATGGGTTGCCTTTATATATATTAGTTTTAATTTCACGTAAAACTGAGACTAAATTTTACAAAAATAATCATACTTCGCCAAGAACTTTCGAAGCAAGAAAATGATCGAATTTCACTTTTCAAAATAATACAGATCAATATTGTAATACATTACGCCATAAATAAATCGAATTGTCGAAACGTCAGAAGCTAATCCATTTTTCTATCAAAAAATAATCCATGATTAATAGGCTGAATAATATATATTTCTATAGCTCTTTTGGATATTCCTATTCCATAACCACTACTTGAATAATAACAAACTAGTCTAGTCGAGCTATATTAGCTAAACCCAAAAATTTCAGCCGTTGAGCGATTCTGAAAAGCATGTACACACCAATGAAAGACATTGATTCAGATATATTAAGGGAATAATGTGAAGTTTTTTTAAAAGAAATTTAGTGTTGTAGTGGTTAAGTGATTATTGGGATGAACAGCTACTACGCAAGATTCGGTTCTATCTCAAAGCTTTTTCTTACACTAATCTCCCTTAATCAATAAAGGCGAAACGCGTGAAAATGTATTGGCCATTCCATACTACATCAAGTATTTAAAAATATTAAGGATATATTTATACATATTTTAAGAGTGGACAGCAAAAATGTTTGAAGAATATTTTTTGACTCCAAACTTCTCCGCACCTACAAAAAATTCTCTATAAGAAGATATCGACTGTACAATGACTGATGGTCAACAAAGGGGGAAAATGATAAAATGGCGGCGTTTAAAAGAAAAACCTGGTTTCGAGTAATCACTCAAACAAATTCAAAAAATATTCAAAAAAATTTAGTATGTTATTTCTAAAGACTATCGAAATTGTAAAAAAAAAACTTTGGGTATATAAGAAACATAAAAAAATATTAATTTTCTCAAAATTACCCATTAGGTCTGCTCCTAAAGACGTACAAAGCGGACACCTAAAGGAAAAAAACAACTTGGTCATCTAGCAAAGATACACACATATATATATAATAATATATATATTATATATATATAGACATATGCATGTATGTCATTTTTTGAAAGTGCAATTTTTCCACAAAAACTGTTTTACTTGATGTCAGGGACATTACTAGGCTACAATGTTCTAAACATTTTATGAAATTCGAGAAAATTATTTTTGCTATCTTAAATCGTTTAGGCATCATAATCTCAGCAAAACCATATAGTACTACTTAGAAGAGATGAATACTTCGATACTTGGTTCGACTTCATTACAAAGCGTTGTTGAACTATTAAAATGTCTCACAGTGTAGTCGCTGCTATTGGTTTTCAATAGCGAAACCAAAGCGGAACCTGGACAACGAATTCAAAGTGGTGCGTGGGTCCATAGCCACTCATTTCTCACATAGTCATACTTATACTCGTATGCAGTATGTTAGCTACAGCTTCAACATCCAGTGAGTACTTGCAACACCCACATAAGCTGCAGCGATGCCCGCACGTAACGGACAAGTGCTATTGTCTCACGATGTGAAGGCGAAATCTGGAGTATCGGCTTACAACAACTCTGCATGTTTGCCAATTGCAATCATTGATTGCAACAACACAGCAAAGTGGTAGCTAGTGGATAGCCAAAAAAAAAAAAACACGCAACAAGAACACAACTAGCTCCACAGCATATTTGCAGCATTTTGTTGCATGTTGCAATCAACTTTACTGCAACAGCAGCAACTAACATCGCGATCGGCGGTGGTGCAATAAAATTGGCAAAAGCATTAGTGGCGTTGGTGTAGTTGCTGCCAGCAAATTGTTGTAAAATACTTATGCAACAACAACAAAACAACAAACTTGCAGCAGCCACTTTACAACGCAAATGTTTCAATCAAATTGTATCTCAGAGCGATGTAGACACATACATGGATGCATGTGCGGCATATTGCCGGCACTCAGCACTTGGCAAACGGCGGAAATGCGCTCATAAACAAATTCACAACTTTCGAATTTACGAGTGAAAGTGGAACGGAAGGCGTTAGCGCTGCGCAGAGTGCTGCAATTGGGCAACAAGTTCGTACGCCGAAGAATTTCGCATTAGCGCGAAGGCAATAAAACTCGGCCAGCACAGTAGCTGCCACTAAGTGTTGCAGTAAATTGCTGATATAATTGCTTTGCCTGAGAGTGTTGAGGCAACTGTCGTCGTGCGTGGGTCTTTGCATAGATTACCTGCAACTAGTGGAATTAATTGCAATTATTTCATGCTAATTGGTGTTACTTGACCTTTTCTCTAATCGCTTATCATGTGTTACTTTGTTTCATTACTTTCTGGCGCTAGTAGTTGGTTGTACTTCTGACCTATAAGAATTTCATACGAAGTGATATGGTTAATATGAAAAGGGAAGAGCTCAGCAGTTTGCTATTGTAGTAGATATTTTTCTGATCTATTATAACTGATAACAAGAAAACACGTTAACTTCGATTGCACCGAAGCTACAATACACTTCAGAAATATGAAAAGTTACATACAAAAACTTGAGTTAGTTCGTTCAGTTTGCATGGTAGCTATATACTATAGTGGTTCAGGTAACAAAGATATTGATCAATACGAGTATATACGGTATAAAGACAACTGAAGTTCAGTGCATCGACCGGAGCAAGTGGAAGCGGTAAGCCGTGTTCAATAAGGCGTGTTAGACAAAACTTCCTTGTCGCTGTTTTCCAAATGGGTTTTAACCGATTTTTCAACATGAGACCGAGCATTGTCATGCTAGAAAGTTATTGTACCATGTTTAGTCGAAAATTTCGTGCGTTTGTCGGCAATCATTAGCCACAATTTGATGAGTTGTTGTCAGTACTGCTCGACATTCTTTGTTTTATCCTAATGCTCATAATACAGCATGCTCTTCTGATCCCACAAAATAACATGCAGAGCATTACCCTGGCATCACGGCTATACGGCTTTGCCGTTGGTTTGGCGGGTTGCTTAGGTTGCAAACTTGATCTTTTGATTTTAGGGTAGTCGTAATGATTCCATTTTTCATTATCAGTCATAGTCCGAAGCAAAAACGGCTTCTTTTTGTAGAGTTTACTCAACATTTCTGACACGCAAAATCGTTTTTCAATTTCTTGGCTTCATTTAATATAGAACCCAATTTCCTTACTTTTGAACGTATCCGGCTGCTTTTAAATGTTTTCAAATGGCTGCTTGAGTGACTTTCAAAGATTCTACAAGCTTTTCTTGTGTTTGGTAACAATCCTAATAGAGTGTTTCCTCCAGTTCCTCATCTTCAAACTTTTTTGGCCGGACAACAGGTTCTTCGTCTTCCACGCCAAAAAGATTATTTTTAAATCGTGCCAACTACTCTTGGTACGTTCGCTCAGCTGTAGTATGTTTATTATAAACTGCCACTGAAATACGATTGACTTTTGGCTGAGGAACACTTTTTCAGACGCAAATTTCGATATTTTAAGTAAAAAAAATGTTATTGTTGTTTACGCTTTAAATGTATGACGCACGTGTATACTGCAGGGACACACATGAAAATATACGCCACATTAAGAAGTGATAAATTTGAAAGAGCCGAACCTTTTTCTAACGAATTTGAACTGAAATTTAAGTTTACCAACTAGGCAAACCTTTGCAAGAAACGTCTACGAGCGCACTAATCCACTGATAGTTAATGAGCGCTAAATTATTTGAAAGGCTAAATGGTTTGGATTTTGTACGAAAAAAAAATTCAATTTAATTTAAAAAGTTTAGCTTGCTCATAATTTAATTGTTAGAAACAACGTTTTCGGTTAGATTTTAAAACGCCTGCTTCGCTTATAGAACTTTTTCGAATATATTTCCGATACAAAGATATTCCTTTCAAAATGAAATAAGGTTTTTCGAGCAAACTTAAAACTGTATTAACGCTTACAGAAAACTTCCGAATTTTTGCGGTGCACTTAAAATTAAGTGCCTTTTTGTTAATATCAGTTGTAGGATCATATGTAGCAAACCTTGGAAGCTGGCGATTCGAACAAACAAACAACTGGTATAATTGCATTAAATACCATAAATAAATAAGAATAGAGTAGCAAACAGTTACACACAGTCTCTACTATTGACTTCAACTTGCTAACTTTGCTATTGCTTTCAGGTTTCATAGTTTCTTCAAAAAGAGGCGAACTCAAAAATTATGAGTAGAAAAATGACGAATCGTAGATGGCTGATATGACAATAGTATTGGCATATTTCAGTGGAATATTTTCTAAACAACAAATCTCACCTGTCATGGAATATTTCAGTAGTTATTTGGAAAAGTACAATATATGCTCTAATAGGTCAATTCAATCGAAATTTTTTATAGTCAATTCACCAAGCAGTCATCTGTGCTTTAGTAAACCAAAAAAAAAAAAAAACAAAGAACAAAAAGAAAACAATACAGAATGAAACCAGCTTGAGTGTTGCATATTAATTAAAGCTGTAAATTAAGTCATAAAATTAGTTGTATAGCATTGAAAATTCTGCCAGATTATAGTTGTCTAACACTCAGAAGCGTAAAATCGGAATAAATCCCAAAAAGTCGACAAAAAAACACGACACTTAACCATTGAGTGTTAGACTGCTATTGGTGCTACTATACAACTCTTCTAGAAATGGCTTCCTTCTTGCTACTCACTTGCTTGGGTGGTGAGAGGAAAAGAGTCTTTATAGGTGTTCATCACTGCGTGTAGCGTTTTTACGATGCTCATCATCGGGCGCTTTTATGTCTCGAAAACAACTTTTTTAATGTGCAGTTTGGACGTTATCACGTCGTATTGGCGATACTAGAAGCATTTTTTGTTGCTGCTGAATTTTCATTAT